TAAAATCGGCGTGAGGGGGAGGGGGTGTATTCACCGTCCCACCACGTGAAAAGGGGTGAAAACCTACGCCCATTGTTCCACCTAGCCTGGCCATTCTCGATCCCTGCGCAACAATCATCTCGATCTGAAAACAATAGCGATTTCTCCTTTGTGAGCGGCCCTCGCACTTTCGACACCCGGTACACACCCCTAATGACCGGCCTCGCTTATTTAATTGACGACGCTGCAGAGAAATCGATACAATCTGCGTTGCGCTGTTTGCTATACGCAAATTTATCTTGTGTACCTGTGTGTTTGGTATCGCGAAATTGGCATAGATTCTCGTTAAGACTTGATAAATTTTCCACGTTTCTTTAAGGAAAAATTTTTTGCTCGGGCAGCAAAGCAAAACTTTTGAATATTCGAATTTTTGAAAGAGGTGTACTTTTAATCGTTAGTAATTTTAGAAATCTATTGGACGTTGAAGTTTTAAAAATCTTGAAACACGGAGAAAGATTTAAGATGCAACGATATGGCGTTAGAGGATTAAATATGAAATCGAGTATTGAATTCTTTCTATATTTTAGATGTTCCGGACAGAAGCATTGTCGTTACAATTTTACTACCGACCACCCGAGCGCCGTTTATTGGAATCCAGCCACATTACGATTGAAGTACGCCTGTATTCCTGGTAAATATTTTTTATAAATTAAATTAATTTATCTAGACATACGAAAAAAAAAATAATTATCTTCTCGCGTTAAAAATAAATTCTATTAATTTTTCCATAGAATTTAACACATGAGAAACAGGAAATACTTGATTTCATTTTTTTTTCACATACACGTCGTCTTCCTTCTCGTAGAGAACGATCGATTTTCAGTCACGTTCTATCGATAATCTTCAATCTAGATAATCCAAACAATATACGAGATAATCTTGATCGAAGCTAGAGAATGAATGCCATGTCACGTGCGATACTTTCTTAATTTTATATGTTACAAAAATCTTTTATATCAACGAATCTTACAAAAGTCTTTCTATTTTCTTCATCACTCGCGTAATTTAAATAAAATTTCCCCAAATCCTTTTAATCCACTTTTCCTTTCCTTCACCTTGAACTTCAAAGTTTATACGAAAGAAAGTTTAAAATCAATAAAAATTCGTAACAAGTTATCCAATAAATTTTTCTCTTTCCCTCAGATTCGCTTAAAATTCTGAAAATCATTTCCAATATTCGCGAAAACGTGATTCGAGACAATTCCATTCTTTATAATATCGAGGGATCAAAAAGTTTCACACGAAACTTTTATAATGACCGACTTTTCGAAGAATCGCAATGAATGACATGTGTGCGACAAAAGACAGAAATTCGAAGGACGCGTTAATCCCTTGTCTCTATGCAACCAGGCGAACTATGAAATAGTAAAAGATGCGGAAAGACTCGTTGAATGCGAATCACAGTCTTCGAGAGGCTCTTTAATCGAGCTTCCTTTCTATATAACACGACCCATCTGCGATCAATATGGAATATTTTTATGTGATAATTTTTATTTTTACGCGATAATTTTCTATCTCCACAGTTAGAAAAATTATAATTTCATATTTAGACTTGTGTGCAATCAATTCATGCGATAATTTTACGTAATTATCGAATGAAAATATTTCTCCAATAGAAAAATTATTATAATTTTAAATTAGAAATTGATCATTGGTTATACAACCAATGATTAATAAACTTGTGTATTACTTTACACATCGTAAAATAATCTTGGTAGACAAGAAAACGTGTTACTTACGTCACAATGTGATCGATGTCTTTATCATAACACCGACATCGTAACATCTGTTTTATATAAATCATTTTTAGCAAATAAACGAGTGCACGTTAAAAAAAATTAATATTTACGAAATCTTAGCCGAGAGAATCTGTGGCAAAAAATTCGTATCGTCATTTCAATATGTATATATATATATATATATACCACTCTCGACGTATCTTTCAATAGAGGAATTTTACCGTTCGAGAAGAATAAGACGACGAAAAGGAACGGGATCGAAGAATAGAGCAAAGATCTTTTTCATCGTTCGAAAAGATAGAGGAAGAATCGTGCCACCCCTTCGATGCCCTACAACCGGTATCAGCCCCCTCCAGGTGTAGGTATTCTCCGGTCGGTTCACCCCTCCTGTGGAAAGTGGGGCAAGGACACCCTCGGTCAGGCGAAACGTCGCATAATGGTGGCGGCAGTCACACTCGAAATCGACAAATGGACCGAAACGGATGCAGATGCTGATTGCGCGTCCTTATGTCGGTAAAAGTGTCGTCCTTTCGCGTCTCTGGAACGAACAATACTCGAGGGAGGTCGATGGCTCGGGGGTGGCAATTCAACTGAGTAGATTCGCGTCGGGGAAAATAGAATTTTTCATGTGTGTTGGTATATAGATAATTTATACTTTCTTCTCCCCCTCCTTCCTTTTCTCCTCTCGTCCGTACATTAGGGAAGAAATTTAATTTCCGTTCCATCCCCCTTAAAATTGTAAAAGAGGTAATTTATAGTCGTATAGCGTTCGTATCATATTTATTCGTGCTTCCTCGACGAAGATGTTTGAACTTCGATTTATTTACATTTTCGGGGATTGTTTCAGAGGCTGCAGTGAGAAAATATTGCAACGAGGAACTGAAGGTGATCCCTGGTGAGGGTGGTTTTATAAATTCACCAGGCTATCCGCTTTACTACCTCGGCGAGAGTACGTGCGGCTGGACGTTCAGGTCGGCTCCTGGGCACAGGATCGTCCTCACGTTCCACGACCTGAATATCCGGGGTAAGTATCGATCCGTTTCCCCTTTATTTCCTCGCTTTCCTTCCGGACTTGAAGATTAACATACGTGCATCTTGCATAGAATCGATTAAGAAATCACGAGTCGTGTGTACTTTACGATTTAAATTAACGAGTTCATTCAGATCGTTTTAATTAATATTTAAGTTCGAGAACGTAGAATCTGTACATATGCTTGGGATTATAATGATTAACGAAATTTAATCTTTTAATAATTTAATAATTAATAATAAAAAATTTAATAATTTAATAAAATTTAATAATTTAATAAAATTTTTTTTCTCCTTCACTTCGCGTGATTTATATTCTATTAAAAAAAAAAAAAAAAATAAATACGAATAGAGTATGTACAGAGTATAGAAATATCTAACGCGATTGTATTATACTTAAGTGAAGAATGTAAGTATAATAAGGATAAAGAAATAAAAATGTTCTAATTGTTTTCCAGGGCCAGAAACAGATGGCAATTGCGTGGACATCGTGAGAGTGCGAGAAAAAGGAAGAACGTTGTTCGAGAATTGCGGTACCGCGGCTGGCGTCAAGGTCGTTTCGAACTCGAGCGTGATCACCCTCGACCTTGTCGCCACGAAGAAGCTGTACACGGCACGAGGATTCTTCTTGCAATATCAAGGTCCGTTTAACCTCCTGAGAACGAAGGTCGATTTGTTTCTTCTTATTTTTTTTTTTTTTCCTGAAATCGAAGATCGAAATCGAGAGAGCTTGGAATTCGATATGAACAAACGATTGCACAATGAATCTTTCATCCAGAAATAACGAATCGACGAACTTTTTTTTTAGAACACAAGCGTGTCTGACATACGATATCTTTTCTCTACGATTTCTTTCATATGTTATGATATGTTCGCCTGGTCGATCGTTGCATTGTGACGTAACGATCGAATATTATGGATCCTTTTTTATCTTGGAGCCAATCAGAATTACAAAATTACATTTGTAGTTCGCAATTTCCATATTTACAATTAAATAAATAATTTCAAGGCAAAACGAATTGAATTGTAAATATGATTGAAATAGATTGATCAATATTCACCAACAATTCGTTGATGCACAACGTAATTATAATTTGACGTGGTGAATAGGAACTATATGCAAATGAACAGCAAACTCTATAGCTGATTATTAACGTTTCAGCGTTGGACTGCCCGGATGTCTCGGTGCCCAACGGAAGTTACGTATTGAATGGCACTCTAACCTCAAGGACTTTTCTCTGCAAATTGGGTACCGTGTTCCCTGACAGTAAAGAAAGGACAAGGATACTCGAGTGCAAGAATGGCAAGTGGAACGAGAGTGCCATCAACATACCAAGTTGCACAGGTAACCGCGATTCCCTTTTTATCAACGAATATTCGCCTGCATGCACCGTATCATTGACACAAAAAATTAATGTAACACGTGCATAATTTACAAGCTACGCGCAAAAATTCTCTATTCTGAAAACGTAAAAAAAGTCAATGTAGCGAATAAAATAAAATTCAAATTATTTTCTAATTAGAAAAAAAAATTAAAAATTTTTAAAAGGAAATTGGACGAGATACAAAATCAATAAAATTCACGTATATAACTAAATGTTAAAATACTTCGATGTTTACCGACAATTACCAATAACACGCGAATGCTTTCAGCAAAATATATTTTCATATATTCTAGGAAAAAGATCTCGATATATTTATACGTATATTTATAATATTTCAACTTCCAATCCATATTCCAACATACGTGTGCATAGCATCACATAAATATATAATAAATATAATAATAAATATAATAAATATCAAATTGTTCTAATATTAATTCGAACTCGAAGCTAATTTTTATCTCAAACGAAATTTTCGAACCGCCACAAATTCCCACGCACGTCAATACGTTTGGCCGAGTTGAAACGATTGCAAGATTATGAAAAAAACATGGGTGGTGGCACTCGCATTAGTAGCTACGTCCCTCACGGGTCTCCCGGGAACCCATGGCTGTCCATCGCGTTTCGAAAGGGGAAACCCGTGGTGGGGGATATCACGGTGAACGGCGGGGACACAGGAAGAGGGGTTGTCGGTGGCGGGGCAGGATGAAAGAAAAAGACGGAGGGAAAGAATCTTGGGGCGGAGAAGTATTCGTGAAGGTACCATACATCGGTAGCGTTGCACACGTAACGACGCCAGCCGTCTCGACACCACGTGTCCCGGTCGAAAAAATCATTTGAAAATCAATTTTTCGTGCCAATTGATTACGTAAATATCGTATCTTTCCACGCAATTATACATTTTCACATATCCGCCTCCAGTTAATCGGTTTCATCGATCGCGAAACGTTCGTATTCGCGAAACGACCTCGAGGAAGAAAGAATCGCGCATCATCAACCATCTTAACACATCGTTTTGAGCACATCAGGTAACTTTTATCTTTTTTTTTTTTTTTTTTTTAAATAATCGGTAGATCATTTGCTTTTTTTTTTNAAATAATCGGTAGATCATTTGCTTTTTTTTTTTTTTTTACTACGATATATCTATTTTATTGTAAATAGAATCTACGGATTATTTGCTTTTCACGACACTTAATTTCACGACACTACGTTTACGCATGGACATTTGTAAGAATAGTTTAACGTGACGAATCGCGAATTCATATAGAAGCGTTGTAGAACAACCTCACTGATGAAGCGGATTCTTCCGCGATAAATCAACGTTCCTTTGTTTTCCATTCTCTTCTTTTTATTTTCATTTCTTGACCACGAGTAATGCACGATCTTGAGAATATAACCAACGCACGGAATGGTCTTCCAACTTGAACTTTCGTACTCGAATGGAATCGCGAATTAATTAACGGCACCCGGAAGCTTTCTTCGCGCTTCTGGCTGGGGGATCGGCTCTTTAAAATGCGATACATTCAGCGGATTATTAATTATCCTCGTGCGGTCGTGTTGAGAAGACTTCTCCTTAATCTGAAGTGAACCCTTCAACTTTACTCTCTCGTTGAACTCGTGATAAATTTGAAAATCGGATTATACAGCAATTTTTACAATAAAAATTGTCTACACTTTCAAATCCTCAAGTTCTCCTTAATCTGGAGTGAATTTTTCAATTATAACGTCCTGGTGAAATTATGACAAATTTCAAAATAAAACGTCGGATAATTATATTCTTTTATTTTCTCGATGAAAATTTGTTACACTTTCAAATTATTTAAATTATTTGATCAACGATCTTCTGCCACAGTGTACAATAAATTTGAAAATACATACAAGAAATATATCTACATACATTTCAATAACTCTTTCGTTGAATACTAAAAAATTTACAACGAAATATAATCTATATAATATTAATTTTTGCATACCAATTTTCTCTTATCAGCTTGCCAAATGTACAGGCTCGTGATATTTATTTTTCTTCTGAAATCTCCCGTTATCGTGTGGTTGCGGCGCACGCGTTATCGACTCGACCGTTTCCTCTCGAAAATCGACCGATTCCTATGACGATATACAGTCACCGCTAATTCTACGCTGAATGAAAGCTCTGAAAGGAGTATGGAACGAACAGCTGCGGGATAAATGAAAAATTTTTTTTTGTAGTCAAAAAAGGAGAGAAAGAAAAGGAGAGAAAGAGAGAAGAAAAAAAAAATTGCCCGAATCCTCTCGTGGTTTTTCACACCTCTCGAACAAAGAGGATCGGGAATGAATGTGTCTGTCCAATATTCTTTGTGCGTCTCTCCATTCACCTCGATAATAACTTCGTCGGCCCGGAAAGAGTTCCCTCTTCATTCCCGGGAATATCGAAAAGTTTTCGCGGAGGGCTTTCACCGAGGCCGTAAGAAAACGGCTCGCGAGATTATTGCCTTTCTTACCGGAGGAACTTGGGATTTAAAGGCAATGAGAACGAGGCCGGGCAAGGTTTGTGCATCGTAACGGTGATTGAATTTCCAAGGAGATTGTTCGAAACATTGATTACTTTTTTTTTTGTTAGAACGTTGGAACGAGCTAGCGAAACAAAGCCATTAATAAGGTATTCTATAAATGAGACAAACGAGGAATGAGACAAACGAGGAACGAGGAAGATAATTTAGTAGATTGTTATTTTAAATACCTATTCGAGAGTGAATTGTTGGATTGGAAACTAAAATATCCATTGTTCCGTGAAGAATTTGTAGGGAAAATCCACGAATTGGGCAACCTTCTTTTAGTGCAGAAACAAAGGGTGTATTGTCTTTAAATTTGCCTCCCTGGTTCGTGGTTGAATACCTTTCATTTTCAATTCAACGAGCAATTCGAGGAAAATTTATATTCACAATTAGAAATATAATGGAAAAAATAATGGAAAATTAATTTTCAGTTTGCAAAAGAATCGTATATTTTGAGAATTTGTTGAAATCAATTTGAATTATCGATCTATTCCCGCGCTTTCATTTTCCGCCATCTGTATTTGTTCCCGCGAAGGAACAAACTTTCAAAACTTCCTACGAAACAGCTATAGGAGCATGCGTTGCTTGCATTATATTTGCATACATTTTATAACGAATACATAATTCAAAAGATACGTAGTTTCGAATAAAAGTGTGATCTCACGAACGAGAAACACGAAAATGGAGAGGTAACTGGCTCGTATTCGTCGTTGTGGTGGGGAGAAGCGAGGAGTGGGAGTAAATGGCGACTGGAGGGGATAATCGCCCCTATCGTACCCCCACCATCGTCACCTCCTTGCGCGCGGAGATAATTTTAGAGTTGAGAAAATAAAACAACATTGCGATTGCACATGTTCAACAAGCAGCTGAAACAAAATTGAACTTTGAAAACCTGATGATTCTATGCCTATACATAGAATTCTTTTGTATTCTCGATAAACGATGATCGCTTTTATTTTTATAAAATAAAATAAATAGAACGATTTAAAAGATAAAGATAAAAAATCATATATAAGAAAAAAAATTAAATTCTTTTTCACACATTAAATTAGAAATATTTTATTTTTTATATTAAAAGAAAATGATGTGCAATTAATTCTTAATGAATGCATTATATTTTATTATTTTGTTTTCGTGCAGTATGAATGTTAAACAGGTAATTAATATTAATGATGCGTCAACTACGTTTATAAAATTATTTTCCACGATTCATCATTCCAAAGTTTAACCAAATACTTTAACAATGCCTCGCAACATAATTACAAATTACAAATAAGATCTTATTTACATTCTATTTAACCCGAGATGATTTAATATATACCGATTACATTAAACATTACCTAAAATTATACAAAACTTGTAAAAAAACAATACGAAATCAATAAAAAAAAATCAGTCGTTCAAAACAAATTGTAGAATACGAAAAAAAAAAAAAAGCAATATCGAGGAAACGCCAAGCAATAATCGTGATAGAAAGGTTGATCGAATCCAAAGAGGACAGCTTGTTTTCATCCTGGAGAGAATTTGCGTGGGAGGTGGACGTAGAACGATATATATATATATATATATATATTGGTAGTGGGGGTGAAACGATCGCCCCTGTTTATTCCCCCACCACCAGCGCTATTCACTCCGTCTCTGTCGCTCCTTGCCCTCCCCATCAACCACGAGCGTTGATGTACGAGGTAGAGAAGGTTTGTGTCCAGTCGTCGTCGGAGTTTCTGATAGTGGGACCACGCGACTCTTGCCGTCTTATCGTCTCTTGGCTTTTTATCAATGGAGAGCTCGTGTCACCGTCTTTCACGTTTACGTACGCACGCCTCGCGATTACGCTCAACGACGCACGCGCGATATCGTGAGGAGAAGAGAAACAAACGTTCTGGACGTACGATTGCGAGGGAGGCCAGTCCGGAATTTTACTCGTCGCGTTTCTGGACGACGAATTCTCTTTGCACGGGGCACGAAGAGAAGTCGATGGAATAAGACGAGAACGGGTTCAAAGGTCCACGGTGTGTGTTCCACTCCGATTCGTAGCTCGAAGGCCTGGCTTTGGTTTCGTTTATTCGACACATCTCGGATAATCAACACGAGTCAGAAGGAGAAAATTCGCCTCGAGGGCTTGATGCTATAAAAACGAGGAGGAGAGACGTGATCTTCGTTCTCCGTCTTTTGTCGGTGAAAGAGAGCAGATTCAGATTCAGAGCAGAAGGAAGGAAAGAGACCCGTTCGAGAAACCGAATCGCTGTCCTGCACGATCTGCTTGGCCTAGCTTCGACTGACTTTACTTGGATGAAGTTGGACAGCCTGTCTTGACCGAGAAAAGTATAACAACGGCACGAATTTGATCTGGTTTGATCCCTTTATTCATCGTTCGTTACCGAATTCGGTTTCGACCTCTCAAATTGGCGAAGAAAGTTGAGCGATCAATATTCGATCGATATTGGAAACAAATTTTTTTTCCTTTGATCGATGGTAGATCATCGAGACGAGAAATTTACACATATTGTTTTAGATTGTCTTATCTAAGACGTTTTATATAATACTGGAATAAGATACGTAGAGTAGAAATAAAAAGAAAAAGAAGAAGAAGAAGAAAAAGAAATTGAATAAACAAAAACAAATTTCCAAAGGGTAATGAATTATTGAATGATTTGGTCTAGTTAGAGATAAGTTTGATGTTGCAACATTAATCTTCTCGAATCTAGTAATAGAATATTCGTGGAAAGATATTTTTAAGAGCATATTTTTGAGAATGATCATTGAGCCAAAGAGTCTGAGAATAAATTAAGCAAAGGTCAGAGTTCAATAGAAAATCAGCCCTCACGTGTCGTATGAAAATAGTTCAAATAGAAGAGGAAAGGCGTGTCCCATAAAGAACTTCCTAATATATCATCGTTCCATGCTTTCAATCTTGGAAAAATCATTGGATATATTTCGTTCGATACGAATTAACCGTTCGAAGTCCAAAGAAATTCGATTTGAATCTGTATTACGGAAGAGCACGTGGCCAAGATAGACAAAGGGAGATCAGTAAAATAGGACAACTGTAATCAGACGATTTATCAAAAAAAAAAAAAGCGACGCACAAACGTTGAACAGGTATTGAAAATTTTCTTACAATGCAACAGAATGCATTTTGCTCGCGTATATTATATACTACATATTATGTACTTATATATATATATATACGTTACGAGGTTACGAGGAAAAAAAGAAACAGATTGCACGGTGGGCAATGTATAGTAAAAAGACCGTGTATTACACGGGATAGAGAGGAGAGGGTACGTGCAACGGAATCGAATGAAAACGTGCACCGTTGTATACGGTTCTCCTTTTCTTTTTTCCCTCTCTTCTCTTCTCTGTCTCTCTTTCTCATTCTGTCTATGCCCACGATCTTTCTCTTCCTTCGAATCCCCTGAAGAGACGAGTCCAAAGCCAATTGACGCAACATACGTACTTATCGCAGAACAAGGACACTTTTAATCGCGCTGAACGCATATTTGTTGAAAAATAGTTCGTGAAAAATTTGTTATAAATATTTTATGAGAGTTTGTTTTTTTTCCTAAAATCAATATTTAATATTTTTTTTTTAAATTACGATGAAAATAGTTTTCTTTTTTTTTTTTTTTTTTTTAATATCGTTTTTTAATATTCAGATGAAACACTTGCTTGTTGAAATTCAATTTTCATTGTTCGAAATAAATTTGTAGAAGAATGGATTCCATTATTTTGAAGAAAATTTATTGGAGCACATTTGCTTTTAGAAAGAGTCGTAATACCTCGAAACGGTATAGTGTATACAAAGAACGAATATAGGGGTTCTACGAAAGAGGGGATAAGGATAGTCCATGTGGCGTCGTTAACTCAACGTCGTGTTCATCATTCTCAATGCCCTGCACGATTGCCTTACAATGTTTTCGACAGTCACGGCATATCAATTTATATTTATTTACACGTATTTTTTTCAATCTATACGATACGTCTCTTTATTTTAATAAAAATATTATCTCGAAAAATTTCAGATAATAAAAATAGCACTTTACATATTTTATCGCATAACTGTTCAAAACTTTAGAGAAGATATAATTAAAAAATCTTTAATATTATAAAAAGCGATATTTCAACTCGATAATTCTCAAATATTAAAAAAAAAAAAAAAGAAACTCATCGTTATCTATTCCTCGCGTGTAAAAACGGCCCCAAGATCGGAAAGAGGCGTGCCATCGTCAGGTAGAGGGGATCTCATAGAGATGCACTGGCAGCACAAGCGATAAGAGATAACCGGCAAAATCTCTTTTCTTCGCATTTTTCTTTTCCCAATATGTTGTATTTCGTTTTTTTCTCTTTTTTTCTTTTTTTTTTTGTTTACGACTCCGGGTCAAAGAGTATCGTGGTCTTGAACGAATCAAGGCGTCGTCGCCCATCACGCCACGCGTTTCTCGTCGATGATAAAACCGATGGGATAGCGGAGATCTTACTCAGTTTGTCCCTTCTGCTCCGCGAGTCTTCTACGAGTTGCTTATCGACTATGACGAGGAAAGATCGCGCCTTTCTTTCACCATCGTGACGTTATTAACTTGACCTTCGTTAAAAAAAAACAGTTTGAAACGATTCCTCGTCCATTTTTTTTCTTTCTTTTTTTTTTTTTTTTAATTCTCGCAAAAATCGAGACGAGAGGATCGTAATCGGTGTTGTTCTCTGTCGGTTATGATATAAAAACGAGAGTGTTATAAATATTATTGTTATTAGATAATATTCAGATTTCGAATTATGCACTCCGTTCGATGTAGAACTTGTGTCTCGGTGTATTTAACTTGGTTCACCGGTTTCCGGTTTTGTTATTCGAACGGAATGAAACTCCCGAGTGACTAACCGAGTGACGAATCGATCTTCGATATCGACTTGCCTATAAATTTTCTGCTTATCCGATTGAATTAATGACACCAGTGATTGAAAGAAGTAGAGACGAATCCAAGTTTCTTGGAAAATTCGCGATTTCGCTTGGAAAAAGAAAATAGGAGAGAAGACGGTGAAATAATTCGATGAAAGATAGACGATGCAGTTTCGTACATGTTCAGTAGCGACAGATTTATGATAAGTGGAAAAAACGGAGGAAATGTAAAGAGGAAAGGTCGTTAGAAAAAAAAAAAAAAAAGAAAAAGAAGAAAACGAAGAAAATAATTCGACGAAAGATAGATTTAATATACTTTTCTATTTTGTCCAAAAAAACTTGCGATAGAAGAATAAACAAAGAAAAGGATAAAGAAAGAGGATAGAAATTTTCTTAGAAAAATTCGTATTACTTTTAGACGAAAAAGAGTGGGTGATAATAATTCTATGAAAGATGTTAGCGTTTTCTATTATTGTCCATTCCTTAAGACTAATAGAGTTGAGATGAAAGGATAAGATAGATTCAAGGGAAAAATAGGTGAAAAACTTAGGCGGAAAAGGGAGGAGGAGAGAGAAAGAGATCGGTAAAGGAGAGACAGAGACAGCGGAGAGGAGAAGCTTTGGGGAGAGACTCCACGCCAGAGTGGTTTGAACGCGGGCCCACTGATGCTATAGTAGTATAGTTCGAGGAGCCAGGAGAAACAGTCTGTTTAAATCGAACTGTCGTGCAGGAACGCGTTATGGTGGTGTGTAGCAGCTGACAGTACGCGGACGCACACGAGTTTCGGGTGTAAGGAAGGTACCGACGAGGATCTACTTGCCGATTGTTTCACCATGATACGAATATTCACAGACACCTTCAGGAATCTTATAAGTAAGTGATCCTGATGATACTGCGATAAAAAATTCATTCTAACGAACTATCTTCGTCTCATTCGTTGTCAAAATAATCTCATTTTTCAAAGAAGAATCAAACTATTTCGCTAAACATAAATTTTATATTATATTAGTCGAAACTGTGTTGAACAGAGGAATAATTCAAAGAGTTAATTTAATTTGTGTATTGAGATTATTAATTGGAAAATGAATAATTTGTATGGCGGTATCCCTATTTGAATATTTGCTTGGGATTTGATTGGAAATCATTCGTAATTGGTTAAATTCGTTATTTAATTAATTAATTTAGTTAAATAATAGATAATAGCGGTTTATTGACAGAGGAAGGAATAGTAATAAGCATAATTGAAAAAATATTTACTAATTTGAATTTCAAATCGATTTCATACATGTTAAAAATTGTCTATTTTTCAATGATGTGATAAAAATAAATTATAAATGTTTAATTTAATAACATTGGTTGGGAAGGATAAGCGAGGAGTTAATTGAAAAAAATCTGTGGAAACAATGATTCTTTTTCACAGTTTCTAAATAACAAAAACGTTGCATCATTTCGCTTCGATTTTGCTTTATTAAACCGTCAAACGCAAGCCTCAAAGTTGACATACTCGCACGTTAAACGAGTCCATATAGCGGTCATATTAATCAAATTATTTATATCGTATCCCTCGTCAACACCGTCATATACGTAGAATCACGTGTACGTGCAATTCGTATCCGACCAAAACACGATCTTGAATCCGAGATGACGTTTTTTTACGTCATTGTGCGCGTAATTAAACGAAGAATATACAATATTCGTATTCATTAAAAAAAAAAAAAAAAAAGAAATACAAATTTTTAAAAATTTTTCTTACAATAATTAAATAATAAATAATTATTTGATAAGAAATAATCGCGGTTAGAAATAGTCTTGATACTTTATCTATCGGAATTATTTTCAGCTGACGTTGCACACAGTGTAATAATATATATAAAAATTCTTTTCGATCGTTTCCAATAATTTAGCCGACACGACGGAAAATTTTTTCATCTTCGTGTTATATAATTCCACGTATCATCGCAAACAGTCAATTGTATCTCAAGATCATTCGTCTCTCACGATTTCTGCGTCCTACGCGATTTTATTTCAAACTTGCATCGAACCGCCTCGAACTCACCCCAACACCCCTATATCGAGCGGAAGGAAATCTTTTCTCATTGTTTCTCGGCCAATCTTTTATCCACGATTTCCATCAGCTTTCACGCATCGAACTCGTCTTTTATCGACGATTTCCATCAGGTTGCACACGTCGATTCCACCATTTTTTCTTATATTCCATACCCTTCTCCAACCTTCACCCGCAGCACGTGGCATACGTGACTGATGCAACGTACCTGCACAACATACAACGCTCTAGATTTACGTGTGCACGTATTTACAACCTTGTGTATCCTGTGGCCAGCTTTCTTTTCTGGCCTTTGTATCCAATTCTAAAATTAGGCACATTTCCACGATGTGATGCAACGTAGAGCTATCGATAATTTCGTCTATTCTTCGATTGAAATAATACCTTTTATCGGGTTCTTTGATGAGGGTGATTCATCTCGTTTTGCGTCGTTTATCAATGATCGATTCGATGATCGTTGAAAGGATGAAGATATAGATAGTCCGAAGAAATTCTGGCAACAGATCGAGATTTATTGTAATCGTCGTTTACTCAACTCGAATATATAGTCTTTTGACGTTGATTTTTTTATGTTGTAGGAAGCTATAATTCTAGAGAATTGTTTGAGTGGACAAATGCAACGGTTCTCAACACTGGGATTTAACACAAACCTCAAAAGATCTGATTTCACTAGAAATATTTGCATGGATAAAAGAATTATTAGCTCCTCAGATTATAAGATTTATTATTAAAAGAATTCTTTTCTCTAGGCGGGAAAATAAAACGGTTTAATAATCCAGACAATGCACGCGCGTGTGCAACGAGAATCATAGGAAGTTATCCTACGAATAGGATATATTCATATAAGAATACGAACAATTAATTCTTTCCGGAGTTAGAAAGTACTATTGTTGTGCTTCAAGAGATACATTAAGGACTACATTTAGAGTCAAGTTTATATTCTTATTCTATTGTAAAAGCAAATAAGAATGACAGTTTGCAAGCTCTCAAAGTTTCGCAAAGCCCGATTCCATAAATACACATTTGCGCATACCAAGAGTCTGAGATGATGAGAAAAAGCAAAGCAATAGAGAAGTATAAATAGATACGAGACAAAAGTAATAAACTTTATGATGGATTTTATTCGGAATATCCGGTGAATTCTCATTTTGACTTATTATAATTTCGACTTGCGATCGAGGGCGCATAATAATTGTAAAGTTTGAGAGACTTTAATCGTCAAGAAAGTTTCTTCACGCAAACTTTCTTATCAATTGTTTCCACTCTTTGTTCCAACTTTTATTAAAAAAATTAATTTTACGTTGTGTTTTTATTATTTATTTCTATCTTTGGTCAACAATTTATTAAAGTTTTGTTTATTTTTTATACAGTTTCTGAAATAATGATAAATATCGGGTAAGAAACTTCAGAAACTTTTTTTCATACACTTTGAAAAGATAAATGTCATACAAACGCGAAAAGAAAATTATATCCTTTCCACGCTGTGAACACGCTGTGCTGTCTGTTCGCTGCAAAGTTTCACACGATTCCAGGAAAGTTGGTAATACTTTCAAAAAAGAAAGTATTCTTATTTAATTTATTTGATCAATAATTCACGGATTAAAATTCTAATTTAAATTTTATATACAAAATTCTCCATTTTGTACAGTCTCTCGAGTTTTGTTATATTTTTATCCGATGTTTGATCTTAATCTTAATCGATCCTTCATAAATTTCTTCATAAAGGGAATTCGTCACTGTTCTCTGCAACGATTCTGCGTCACACTCGAGGAAACATTCGGTTGTAAGTGGCATCTCGACCAGCAGTCGGCCACTCTCAAGGATTAACTAAGTTAGAGGGTTAGCGACAATTGTGGGTGATTGAACGATCACTAAAGAGACCCTTCATTGATGTACATGAAACACACCCGTTTCAGTCTGTTCAAGTGTCCCGTGGAACCTGGTCGACGAATCAAAACCTTCGTACAACAGTGGGAATATCTTTGAATCGGTTTATTTTTCGATTGATAACGACATTTTTGCTAATTATATCTGCTGATTGAACAGGTATAAGTTTCAAAATATCTCATATATATTTTTTTCCAGTAATCACATCGAAATATATTGATTTTTTTCCGATATCTATTTATAAAATATATTACAAATCAATGATTCTAATATTGATTAAAAAATAAAATACAAATAAATATAAATATGTATAATAAATAATCAAAGATAAATGTAATTAAGCAAAAATTATTTTATCTTATCTCGTTTCGAAAGGATATTTAAAATAATGGATTCTTAAAATATCAGAAAAATTTTCATCAATATTTCGATAACGACACTTTTTTTTTTTTTTTTAAAGAATTATATCATCGTGTAAGTCAATAAATCAATTCCAAACATGGGAACGCGGATCGTTCGTGGAAATGCATCCAATATTATCAATTTATCCAATTTTTCTTATCCCTCTCATACGCCATTATACTATCAATCTTCATACCGAGAGAGATCTCATTCACAGTTGGCTTTCATCGTTCCACCTCTTGAAATTATAAGTCTAGATATCAAGCGGAGATAAATTCATATTTTTCTCTCGATGGCCATCTTCGAAATTCAACATACATTGTCGTATTAATATGATAAAATTTCGCATCGACTATTCTTTCTCGCGACTTCTGTTGAACACCGTTCGAGAAACGTGAACGGCGCGTGGTTCGATCGGGAAAAATAAAGCGATTATAGCGGAACGAAGTGTCGATAATTCAGTGACCCGTGACGGATCAACTACGTTACATCAAAAACTTCCCATATTGAACGGAGATAGCGGATCGTTCGATTTTCACGTAATCGAGATCGTTCTTTCTTTTTCTTTTTTTTTTCGCCGTATCAGCGATCGAATTGCATCGATGCAACTGACACAGAGGGCAATGAGACAATGTGACGAAACTTGATCAGACCATTGCTCGATTTTCTCGATTTAACATACACATTGATATACAGGATGGAGATTACTATAACAGTCGATGAGATTTTAATAGACGATGAGGAAACTTAAATGTTGAAATCGATGAGAACGATATATAGAAAGTGATACGAGATTATAAAATGTGTAGAGAAATGTTTTTCACAAGTAAGTTCTCAATTAAATTTGTAAAAAGTGAATATTCAAGAATATATTGAAAATCGACTGAGATTTAGAGTAGAATTTTCGAGTAGTTTTTGATACATGTTGATATCTTGCAGTCACAAGATCTGAACTTTTTTTTATACCCCCTTGATGTAAATTTGGAGTTATATCGTTTATAATCGAACTCTGCCAAGTTTTCTATTAAGCAGTTCATTGAAAGTCAATTTCGAAATTAGAAATTATATAGTTATTATTTGTTTTTAATATTCACAAGTTTTCACATTTCAACGATTCTATACCTAGAAACGCATTAAGATGCAAAGGAATACAAGAGAGAAGAATGTAAGTAAGGAAAATATTATAATTCTTGGAAATTCAATATGATAATTGATTTATAAGATATTCAATTCAAAAATTAGAGATATGCAAATATATTAAAATAGAAATTGAACACGACGAAATTATAATATTCAATACGTATGTAGAGTCATACAATATCTCAAAATACGACTAATCGACAGTTAGCTGAAAGATTATATCGATGTTTAAAGTTCATTCGATTCAGATAGATATAGATCTGAATTATTTACATGAAAATGATTACATGAAAATAAAAAATTGCGATTAATCGCGGATAAATGAAAATTAATAGATTAATAATTAAACAATGAGAAAACAATCAGCGAATCGATAATATAAGATCCAAGAAGTTGAACGATAATCGATAAATTTTAAGAATTATCGAGTTAAGCGTAAAAGTTTTATAATTATTCTTTACTATGTTCTTTTTTTCCATTTTTCTTCTTCTTTTTTCCATTAATCATAACGTAATACATAATGTTATCCGAATGGACTTTGTACAATAAATTTATAGCTTTTCATTATATTATTTCCACAAGACATTAAATCATTAGATGTCGCGGAACTTAACAGAGTTCGCAATCATGTAATAGTTCAATAAACCGAATTCTTTCGAGCTGAACTAATACGATACACATTTTTATTTTTATTTTTCAAAAATCGAATGCTATTCGATCGTAAAATTTATTTTTGTACGGACTCGAAATAAAAACCTTGCGTCTCTGGAAATAAAATTTCCTGGCCTTGTGATCCGAAGAAAAGAAACAGATATTTTTGGCATTCTAGGAAACTATTAATATTACACTCTATCTAAAAATTTTTATATTTTTAGTCGATATTTTTAATCATTAACTCGCATAAATGATGACAAAATTTTTAATCTAAGAAATTTCTAGGAGATTGATTTATAAATAAAAAAATCATTACTCACCAGAATTATAAAATATTTCTGAATTTAAAAGATTTGAAGATTAATCGTGAAAAGAAGTGTAAATATTTATATATACTTTTCTTCTTTTAGAAAAAAATCCATTTGTACACTACTCTCCTCTACTTCTCTACGTTATTGTCATCAATTCTTTTGATCTTCTACTTCGCACACGTACACACACTCTCTCAAGTTTCTTCAACCATCTGTTGCCAAGTTACATTTCCACAATGAAGCCTTATTAATTATCACTCAATGACGATAATTTCTAGAGAGAGAATAAAGATACCATTGAATCTTGTTCTAATCTTTTCATTGGTCGCTTTTAAAATCGGTAATCGACTCTTCTCAAAATATTGGTCGACTATTTGGATAGGTGATTATTGAAGAGGAACACTTTAACCGCTTATCGTACTCGTAAATTCACGTTTCTATTGCTTTTGTCTCTCTGATAAGGGCACGCATCTTTGTTCAAACGTGTAAACGATGGTATTTATAGTGAGCAATATTCTCTCTTCCTCCGCGAGCGAAAGACGGAGAAAGTGTTGCGTGCGACCGTGGTTGTTTCATGGCTCGTAATAGCTATTTTCCTCGAATATCATCCGGAAATTTTCGTTTGTTCCCATTTCACCGTGTATTTCAAAAGTGATTCGTGCGTGATCTTCGCGTGATCATATCTTGTTTCGTGTCAATTACTTTCAGCGATTCCAAATTAAAGTTTATAAATCTTCGCCATTTTGAAAGAGACATTTTTGCTTGATAAGGTATCGAATAAGGTATGGTTTCGATACTCTATTTTCCGCATTATAATTATATAAAATAGAATGAACGTATAAAGTGAAATTCTAGAATTTTTTTTTTCTTCGTATGAAAATTAAAATTATCTCCTTTTTTTTTTCAAAAATAATCATTTCCAATCGCATGATCGCATTCAAAATTTTCTTAAATTCTACAGAGTACAGATGTATAATTTATAATACAAATTTCAAAATTAGCAGTGCTATTAAATTAGCAGAACAAGTGCAATCAAACAGAAAACAATCACGTGGATATACTTTAGCTTCAACAATTGGATATTAATTTCGAATTCGTAGAAAAATTCTATTCCCTCCGCAGCTTATTGCAATTTGCATTTCGAAAATATAAATCCTGTCCGATGTTAATCCTTCACGGTCGAAACTATTCGCGAATATATTTTCGTGAAAAGAAACGACGATTCAAACGCGATCGTAAACGTTTTATAGGCCTTTGCCGGTCTAACGCGGCTTCGATATTATCGAGGCGTCCTCGAGGGCGCGGATTCTTCTCCTCTAAAAAACAGAAGCCGTATTCGAGAGTTGGCCGTTCGTCTTTCGCGGCCAAAGCTTTGCAATCGTAAAACGTGTATACATTCCTCGAAAGAAAAAAAAAAAGGATTTATTTCTGCGTAATTATACCGCCTCGAACCAAGGAACACCATTTTTATTATTAGTTATTATCGAACGCGATACACACATTGAAACGTTGAAAATGATCTACATCTTTTTCATCGATAACCAATATATATTTTACGTTTCTCTTTTTCTTTCTTTCTTTCTTTTTTTTTTTTTTTTTTTTTTTTTTGTGAAAAACATTGAGAAGACTGTGATTTCTGTGCAGTTTCCTTTTTTTTTTAATTTTTATTCTTGTTTTTCATGGCTTGTAGAAATTTTACTTTTACAACGTTTCTCGCTTCTTTTTTACTTTTATTTTAAACTTTTTGCAAAACTTTGGTAACATTATTTCAAAGAAATAATTAATAATAAAAAAATAGGAAAAAATAGGAAAATTGAAAATAATGTGATAATTGGTAAAATGGCCAATTATGTGATGCACTCGTTGTAACCCATTCCGGTTTTAACGATAAAAATTATATGCCGCAACACTCGTTAATTTGTAACATACTCGATAACACACTTGTTCACTTCAGTGAAAATATAATAATGATTAAGTAATTTATTACCTTGACACCGGTATAAAAAAGTTTTATTCGTTTTTTTATTCATTTTTTATTTTATTTTCAACGAATTTTTAGTAATCAATTTTGCAATGAAAAAGTTGAATAGGTTTTTATTATTGCTTTTCAACCTTGAACTGAAAAATAATGATTAAAAAAAATTTCTGAAAAATGTTATTCCACAGAGTTTAAAAAGTATGAAACTTTGTCATCGAAATCTGAAATCATCCAAGTTCTCTCGTTATCAGTTATCTTATCGATCATTTTTCTTTAGAAAGATAATTTCTTATCGATATTATTTTTGTTTTTTTTTTTTTTACGTTTAAATTGTAAATTCGCATGTCCTTCAAAATCGCTATCAATGTTTAAAAAATTTATCCATATTTTCATATGGGTATTTATATTTATATATATAAAGGTAAATAACATGAAAATTCAATTTTTAAATTATTAAATTAAAATTTTTAATAATATTATCTGTATTAATTAAAAAATTTATAATTAAAATGACTTCCTATAATCATTCTCTTTCAATAATTTGATCAGATACTTTTCCTAGAATATAATTATATGTATCAATTAATAGTATAAATATCCACTGAAAGAAGATTAAAAATTAGAATATATTTTATGTTCTTCTGAAAAAAATGAAAAAATTAACACAGTCAGTTGTTAATTAATATAAATTACTTGATTTCATAAAAGTCTAATTACACTTTGATATTAAAATTTCGAAATTGTGGAAAAGTGGAATTCATCAATTTTTCATAACTTCAAATTATATCTTATAAATGCACAATATCACTGTAATTTCCAATTCTCTCTTTTTCTCAGAAAAAAAAAAAAAAAAAAATCCTGAAAATTATCTAACGCCATCTTTACAAATTTTATATCGTAACCATAGAAATTTATCTTCTCGTTCATGTTGAAAGAACGAGAAGCCATTTTGGGCCATCAAACATAGATTCATTTCAAATAGTCAACTATTGATTTTCTCATCCAATGAAATCATATCTTCTGTTTGATATTTAAACAGCCACATCAGCGCTGATCCTGAAAACGGAACACGATCATAATCGGTTGTCCAGCCTTTCCGGGGACAATATCCTTGGCACGGGGGTTAGAATTGGACGAGGCGAGGACGCAGTCGCGGTTGGTAACAGGAACATTATGGATTCGGCGCAATCAGCAATGATGAAGCAATCAGACTACGTCGTAGGTTAGTAAACCCTCCTCCAATATATTTTTTTCAAAGTGTTTTATTTATCATTCTATTCGATTCTATTAAATTTTCTCCCATTGGATCGAATTGATTTCTGAAATTGTTAATACCGGTTAAAATTTCTCTTCGTGTATGAAAATTTCGTGAAGAAGAGTAATCGTTTGCGAGACAAGTGCTGTTTGAAGACGAATCATTGGATTGTTACGTATATTTTGTTCGTATAATATACTTTTTTTTATTATTAAAAATATTACTTTTTTTTTATTATTATCATTCCATGTTATATCTTATTAAATTCGAATTATAATATATGATCAAAATGAAACAGGAAATAAGCAAAAATTGTATTCTATCGATAATCTTATTTTTTTATAATAAAATATTATGTATTTCTGGCAATTTCTGAACAATGATATTGAAATTTAAAAAAAAAAAAAATTCTCATAATTGCCATATAATGTGAATTAACATTTGAAACTATCTGGATGTACATGTGTTATATAATAGCTAACTATAAAAGCTTAATAATAAGTATAATTTTGTCGATGACTGACACGCGATATTTTTTTTATCTTTTTTTCTTCTTTTTTCTATCGTCAATGATATAATTATTTTATAAACTTGTTTTATATATCTTTTATTCACAATCTTTTGAAAATGGAATTAATTTAAAATTGATTCGATTTAAATTATTTATATATTTGGGCTCTTATATACAATTAATAAAATTTCTTAAATAAATAATATTGAAAAATTCTTATATTTTTTTACTCAAATAAGATTCATTCATTTTTAAAAGTATGCAAACAGAAATCTGCGTCATAGAATATATCACCTGTTAAATTATTATCATATTAAGATTTTTCTAATTTATTTAAAATAGATAGTAGATATTTGCGTGGAAGATTATGAAATTATATAAAACATTATGAATAGATCTAAATAATTTGGCGTCTAGAAAGCATTCATTTGCATTTATTTAATACTTTAGAATTATGAGTATTAAGACGATATAATGAATACAGATATATTATTTATCTTGTGTTTGCTTTTATTAAAATCTAATATCTAATAAAACAAAAAATCTAATATTCTAGTGTTCGATACACGTCGGCTGTCGAGAAAAATCAATTATTTTTTTAATCATGTTATAATATCAGTAAATCTCTATTATATAATATATTAACAATATTGTTAAACTATTAATAAATTATCGTGTAAAAGATATTAAATCAAACAAATAGTATTTTTGAACAAATATAATTTATAGCTATAAAAAAATCCTCGCAATAATTATTTTGTTCAAATCTGAAGACTTTTGGTTATTGAAATGTGAGTGTGATTCGTTTGATTTCTATTATTATGGAATAATTATCAGAAAGATTATATTCCATTTAATTTTAATTCGATTGAAATTAATTTCTGAATTTCATGTAAACACATTTATTAAAAATTGCGAAAATCTTATTTATCTATATTTATCATTGTTTACATTTATTTATATTTAAATTGCTTTGGTGATTTTCATTTTATTGATAATTCGATATCGGCCATGAAACCAACAGATCAACAAATCTTATCGAACTTAAGGATAAATTGTATTGAAAAAAATAAATTGAAAGATTTTTAAATGACGAAATTAGAATTGATTATTAATTTTATATTTGTTAGATAATTAAAGAAATAAATATTTAATGATATGATAATTTCAGAAAAAAAGTTCGAAAGATCGTAAAGTGTAATTAAAAATTCGATTTCAATATAAATAAAGTGATTTGTACATTGATTAGCCATTATGGATTTTGCATCGAATATCAGCTTGAATGTCATGATTGAATGACTGGAAACAGAACAGAGTTATTGAATTAAATCCATTTGGCTTATCTGATCAATATTAATAAGAGTATTATTAAATATAATTAACATGCATCTCGTTTTTGTTGTAATGTCAAAATCTTCTATATATATATATATATTTTTTTTTTATATTATAATCTTTTATTTATCATTCATCGTTGGTAAAAAAAAAAAAAAAAAAAAAACATTATTTAACTTCCTTCGCGTAAATATGTTAATTTCAAATAAGAAATTCTAAATAAGATATTTATCTTTGGTAATACAAATTATCAGTATACCTACATAAATTAAATTACTTTTTTTATATAAGATTTTTTCTAATATTTTTAATTTCCTCGATATTAAGAATCTAATTTTCATCGAATTACCATTTTTTAAAAAGATTGATGTAAACTTTTTTAAAAGATTAATCCACAATAAATAGATCCAACTTTTCTATAATTTCAAAAAATTGAATTACTTTTTAAGAAAAAGAAATACAATATATAAGCCACAATGATCAAATGTCAACTTCGAATAGTAGTATCTCATAGAGATCTCTAGAGTAATATAATTATAATCATCAAAAAAAAAAAAAAAATACATATGTCTTCGCCTTCGTTTACATTAGTTTCAATCAAATGATTATCAGAGCGCGGAAACATTGCGAGCGAATAAAGCAAACTTCGATCGATTAGTCAGCCCGGGTATAAAGTTCACTGTGCCATGTGCTTCGAGGAAACCGCAAAATGGCGAATCAAAAGACGAAAGTTTTTATAATTCGATGTAAATTTACCACTAATCTTTGCTTTTCTTTATTTTACAGACGTTGTCTTGCCGACAGTCCTGATTGCTCTTCTGTTCGTTGGAAACGCCATCATTGTGTATATTATCTTCCAATATAGAAAAAGGTGAGAAAAGATTGTGAGAATAATAATACAACAGTATCAATTGATCGTTTCAAAGTTCTGATTTTTCTCGCAACCCATTCAGTTATTCATAGAAATTAATAATTTGGTAATATATTCTTGATTTGTTTCTGAATCTGAATCCCTCAATGAATCGAACATTTTTTTCATTTGATTTGAAAAATCAAAGTTTTATCGACTTTTAAATTTTTTAAATATTTTTCTAATATGAAAAATTTTTCAATTATAGAAAAGTTCCAACGATAGAGCAGGGCGAGGAGATGTCCTTGCGGAACGCGGCTGAAGTGCCACAAGTGTGATTTGCACGAGGATCGACAGTTAAATTTTCACGGTGCCAGCCCAAAGCGTCAGTGAGAAGGCCTATGTTGCATTTTTTTCTACGAGGATGATCTCCAAACAAAAATGGATCTCTAGTAAAAAGTAAATCGTCGAAGGGCATCGATCGCTATTTTTTTTCTCTCTTCTGAATTTCCGCGAGGATTGTCATTGAATCAAAAATATCTTAAGAGACTCGTATTTGATTTCAATGGTTTCACGATTTTCGATGAAAAAGAACGATTGAAAAAAATATTATCTGTTACGACCGTGAAATTTTCGGGGACGCTCTAGAAGAAAAGATTATAAATATGTTCGTCGCCGTTTATAATAAGAATCGTTGTCAATATTTAGAAAACCAGGCGCCTAGTTAGTGCCACGATCTACGTACACTTATACGTACACTTACTACAAACACATGTACACATACACAAACGCGAATACTTACGATAATGTATTATAATGTAAGGAAATAATATATTCTATATTTCGTCCAAATTGTGACTAAGTTAAGAATAAACTGATGTTTTCATAATATATTTGCTTTTGTAAGTATTTCGTTTATATTTCTTTTTACGTAAAAATGATAGTTTCATATATAATTTCGTTAAAAAGTTAATTATATAAATTAAAAAATATTTAAAAATATTTTTGCAAAGGTTCACCTAAGATCTCTTCAAGAGTGCGTACTGCATTTTGCGCACACTTCTCTGTACCTTCGTCTTCGTCTTCTAATAATTCTGCTAAGAAAGGTATGGTTTCTGGTAGAAGTGGCATAAAATCTTCGCCAAGCTTTCTTACAATTTCAACCTATTCATTAAAAAAAAAAAAAAACATTAATCAAATTTATTCATGAATTTTAATTGGCCATTTTTAATCAATTAAAGCTGTGACTCAAAAAGAAATAAAATTTACTTACCACTGCATTCGTTGCAGCGTTTCTAACATACGGTTTCGAATGTCTGGTCTTTAATAATGTTTGATATACTAATTGTTTATGTAAAGAATCATCGGGAATGGCACTGGCAAATGCTGCGATACAGGGTACAATTAATTCCTTCGCTCTCTTCTGATAATCCTCTGTAGAGCCCATAGTATTTTCCAATTGATCCACAATTGGTTGAGCCAGTACATCAAATCTTTCTTGATTCACGAAATTATGCGCATCGTAACTGAAGACTCGATAAAGAGTCAATAAAATGGCTTCGACTAATTCGATTTTACTCGATTCTTCGGGCAAAGTATTCTCTTGCGGTTCCTCGTTAATCATTGGATTATTACTACTTAATAGTATTGCCGCATGCTTGAGAAAATGACCAGCAAAGAGAACAAAAAGAGATTTTAGACATTCTGCTATGTTAGCTGAAAGTCTACAAAAAAATATATCAAAATTATTTAATATATAAACTTTATGAATAAAAAAAAATAATTTGTTTTTAAATTGTTTAATTGACGCACCTATAAAACGTAATGTTTCGTAATTTATATTGTGGATTTCTGGCAGCCCAATCGTATAATTTATAATAAAGTGGTCTAAAAGTAGTCTCGCTTAATTTTAATACCAAAGCAACTAATGCTTTGCTGGCGCTTTCTTCTACGATTATCACGTCTTCCATAATCAATTCCGATCCATCTATTTCCATGACATCTTCTGAATTAAAAAAATCTTCACGAAATTGCAAAATTTTCAGGAAGAAAGTTCCCAAATCCGGTATAGCTGCATTTATATCGGTTGGTTGAACACTATTGAAAGATTCGGCCAACACATTCATTAATGCTGGGATACATTTATATGTTCTTTTTGCAAGTAACGTTGTATATGTCCTGTTAACAGCTGGCAATAATATTCGCAAAGGTATACAAGAAGAAAGTTTTTGGGTGGTTGCATTCAATCTGGATTGCACAATGTTAATCTATGATAACAATAAAGAAAAATATTATTTAAAATTCGTATAATATGATTTATGTAAATATAGAATTTATGAGAGAAATGTAGTGAATTGATTTTAAGATATGTGATAAATTATTAAATCATACCTTTTGATGTTCGCTATCAGTATATACAGAATTCAATTTTGCTAGTTGAAACAATAACTGATCCAGATATAAGGATAAGAAGTTTCCAACAGATTCAACGATCTTTTGCAAAGCGCTGACTATACTGATAACTATTATATCTGGTACACCTTGGTGACAATGATCTTCTAACAATCGCAAAATCGCTGGTACGAATTTATTTAACGAATGTATAGCATGAATACGCATAGAGCTACATAATTCTGCGACACAAAGTGCAGCACTGCCTAACACGGGTCCTTCTCTCGTATTTAAAAGTTCAGTGGTCATTTCAAGAATCTGTAACAACAGAGAAAATACGGAATAAATATTATATATTTAATATATTTTTTCTTATTTTAAATAATAAACTTACCGGTTTGAAAAGTATAGGATGTTCACTAGCCAATAATTTTGCCAACAATTTTATAGTAATCAAAACAGTTTGCTGAACAATCTCTTGTTCTTGTGTTTCAGATTTTTCTTTCGCTGGAATTATTTGTAATAAAGAATCAATCAACGTTAACAAATCTTCATAATCGCCCTCGCTGAATTTTCGTTGTTGAAGACGAGTATTGAGAAGATCCAAGGCTTTCCTCTTTACCGTTAACAAATCATGTTCTATTAACTGTTTAATGCTGATTAAGAATATTCCATTTGGCAATAAATTGTTCACCAAATCTAACACATCATACAAGTGATGTAAAAGAACTTTCCAATACTTCCCGAATGATTTTCCTTGATATTTATCAGCGTTCTTTGAAGTGCTCTGAATCAATATAATCAATTCAACGATCAATTGATCATAATACGGTCTTATTTCATCTACTTGATCAGAATCCAATTCAGCAACCTTATTAATGAAATCAGGTGATGACAACAAATTGCTCAGAAATTGTACCAAGGTATACTTATAATGTCTTAATTGCTTAGGAGTACTATTAACAACATCAAATATATGTTTATATTTAAAAGACAATGCAACTTTTTTACCTTCTTCGTCTTCCATATCCACAGGCAATTCTTTCATGAATTGAATCAATTTCACGCAAACTTGAATAATCTTAATAGGTAAAAACTCTTGAGATACTTGAAGAGCAAATTCTAATCTTTGTCCTGATGTATTTTGGACGCGCACGGTTCTGGACATAACATGACTTTCGAAACTTAGCAAGTAATACAAATAAAAATAATTATCCAAAAGCTGCAATAATTTAACGAATAGAGGCATTCGTCTATGCTCTGGTATATCTGGTAATGAAACAATGAAAGTTCTTAAAAGCTCACAAGCGTGATTTTCATTTTCAGCCGCATTTATTATAGGAACTACGGTTTCGATAGTCTTGGATATTATTTGGATCGAATAAGCGTCATCTTGACGCACCACAGAACTGCCCATGAACGTGAAGATAGGCATAATAGTATATAATGCACAGCGTACATCGACCACCTTTAATAATGCTACCAAAACTAATAGGGCGTGATGATGAGTCTGAGGATTCCTCGAGGTTCTGATACACTGAGTGATCAGATCTATCTGGAGATGAGCGTCACGAATAGGCAGTTTTTTAATTGTCAATCGGTGAATAATGGACAATAATAATTGATTCGTGTATTCTATGGGACTTTGTTCTTCAAAACTCAGACATTTTTTAAGCAAATCGAAAAGAATTGGATAAAGCAATTCCTCTTGCTCGATATTGTCCGCTTGTTGAGCAAATTCTAAGAGAGTCACGCCACGTTTCCATTCCTTTCTGTTAATGATCGTTGGATCAGGAGGCGAATGAATGTGACTGAGTCGTCTTTTATTCTTAATACTCGTGTTGTTAGGTTCGACGTTCTTCAAATTCCACATGATCTTCAATTCGTCGACTATAAGCTGTGCATTTACTTGTATCTTTCTGAGTGCTCTGTTAGTCGTAGAAATCACATTTGTCATTTCGCATACCGTGGCCACGTCCACTAATTTAGCTAGAATCTTTTTTTGAAGATGGATGGAAACTTTTCCTGCACTCTCAAAGAAGGTGCTTTCTATCTGTTTCAAAAGAATAATACTTGGTGAATGATGAACATCAGATTCTGTGACAATTTCGATCTCATGCTCCTCTATATTGGTCTCAAACAATTGCCATACTTGTTCAACAGTAAGAGCCTTTACGGTTGCGCTATTGAACCTTTGAAGTATATTTTTCAACATATTTCCTGCGGATTTGTTCTTAGAATTTGTGTGAAGAATTTGGAGAAGTTGTAATCCAACAGGAGCTAATTGTTGAAGTATCGTAGATCCATTGACGTAAGCTAAAATATCCAAAAGTTGCGACTTGATGTGCAATGGACTTTCTTTGTCCATAACGATCTCGAATAACATTTGTTGGGCTTGTTGAAGATTTTTCCGAAGATCTGATTTCAATTGACTGCACACGTCTGGATCAGGTGATAGTAAAACGTAAAGAGATAAAGATAGTTGATCAGGATCAAGAGATATTTCTGGATTTCTATTATTGAGTTCTTGCAACAAGGATAAGAAAGGATCCATCGTTATGACAGCAAAATGTATAATTATCTCGAGAATCTTCAACGATGCTATCCGACACTCGTTGTTGTCTCTAGCTAATGAAAGCAACAAATTCGTAACAAAAACTTTATCTTGAAACGCCCATTGAATAGATTTATTTTGTTTCAAAAGTACCTGTGTTATTTTCAAACAGTGAAAAGAAGTTTGAACTTTTACAGGTTTTATATACAATTGGGAGAGAAAACGCACGAGATCTTTCACAGTGGCGAAATGTCTTTGAAAGAATATTTGTAAGCAACGAGAATAATGCTTGCACCAATATTTATTCTCTATTCCTTCAAAAAACATCTCGAGAAGTCTCAAAATTAAATTACTACGATGTTGATTATTCTCGAAATCGATTATCGGATTGGATTTCAAATCGAGACGTCTGTGAACCATCTCTAGAACATAAGTGCCTACTTGCAATGGTAAAACTCCTTGAGAAGTCAATTCAATGGCGGTTTGTATATTATTTCCGGTAATATTATTACAGTTCTGCAACATCTTTACTTGCGGATATTTTTTTATCATCTCTGTGGCCATTTCGATCACCTCTCGCGCTACTTCCGGTTGTATAGATCCTACAGGTACTCTACACACAGAGCCCAATAGAATCAGATTAAAAAACATGGAAGCTGCATCACCATGTGCGATTTGTTGTTTCATTGCGGTTAATATACTATCAGTTGGAGGTAATAGTTCCCAGTTTAAGATATTGTGAAAAGATGCTGATGAAACCGCCTCTGCATTTGGTGATCTTCCTAAATCTTTTTGCACATGTTGCATGTATACGTTATTCTTGGCGAAATTTGACTTCAATACTTCCATTGTGATATCTACGTCTGCATCATCGTTTGGAAATAAATATGGCAAAGATGTTATGAAAACACTAGTATCGTCACCAACTTCACAGAGTTCCAACAAGATTTTTAACGCTGGTTTTGCTAGTACTTTTCTACTGGTACTATGACAAGTCGATAATAATATTTTTAATTCCTCGATCAGAATATCTGCAGATAATAAAGCTGTTAAACGTTTCGTAGAAATAGATAGTAAAGCTCTAATTACATCTACTTCGGTGTCGCTAAATCTAGATTGAATTGTATTCGTCATCATCTCTCGAAAACTTTCAGGAATATCTACATCGGTTTCTGCCAACGTTTGCAACGCAATAATTCTTTGTTCCGGACTAATATGGATCAATCTATCAAGAATTCCTACAACTTCTTGCGTGTCTCTAGCTCCAAAATGCCAAGATGTGATAAATTCCAATGCTAATTTTGAATTTTTATCCGTATCGCTACGTTTCATCAATCCTTTCAAATAATCATCAAATCTTTCAGGATAAGTTCTTTCGAGATTGTGGTACAACTTCACAAGAAAATCTTTCGCTTCATTTGACACGTCACTCGAAAGGAATTCCTTTTGTAATACATTCCATAGGATAGTATCCACTCCTATATCGTCCAATTTGATTCGTGTTAATATTTCGTTCACCATTTTCTGTACTCGAATTGTTCCTAATGGATCTTCCAAAATCATACGGCAATTCGTTTGCAATAATGGTACAATGAATTTTAATATGTTTATGTTAGATGATTGAAATTTAATTGTGAGTTCGATGAACCAAGATAATTCAGATAATCGAGTTGCAAGACTTTTTGGTACTGTAGTGAGCTGATGAACTGGTATATTATATAAAAAAAATAGTAAAAGTAGCGCTTCTTCTTTCAGGTAAGTTTTCTTGAATATTTTTAAAAGCAATTTTTCCGTAGTTTCGTCCTTCAGTTTCATTTTCGACATTAACTTTGCTAGAATCATGTAAGTGCTGGCTGCAAAATCGGCAATGGAACTTTCTAAACCTTTCAAAATAGTTGATATCATATAACCTACTTGTACTTCGGAAATAATAGATACCTGTTCTATAGTTCCTAATAGTGAAGTTGTATAAAATGCATACAAAGTACTTAAAGAAGTGGCAGACTCAGAATGTATTTTAGTAGCAAAAACAACATGATTGCAAATTAATTTTAACAAAGCATTATCAGAACTAATACGGTTAATCAATGTTATTGAAGCTAAAGGAACACCAGGCTTTTGAAGAGGTTGTAACCAATGCCAATTATCTCCCTCATCAGATAGATCTAATAATTGTAATGCTCTTATAAACATCCGAGTTTCATGATAGGGTAATATTAGAAGCAAAAATTGATCTCTATTAAATTCGTGTATGCGAAATCTATATATAAGCCACTCAAGAGCTTTGTGAGCAACATTGAGCAAGAAATAAGGAGATAAAAATATAAGAAATCTTTCAATTTCTCCATCTAACTTTTTGTTAACTTTAATATCTTGTATAGCACGTTCAAGATTCAATGAACTTTGTGCAAAAAGAGTATTTTCAAATTCTAAAAATAGATTTGATAACTTTGTCAATTCTTGCAATCCATTCTGACCTAAAAAAAATTAATATATATTAATTACTTTTTTGATAAAAAAGATATATATATTTTATAAATAAACTCACCTATACTTAAAACTGTTTCTCTATCTAAATTAGCAGCTTCTCTAGGATCAAATAACAAACTAGCACGTTTTTTATCCTGAAGCAATATTCCAGTTTGAGGTGTTCTTAATTTCTTTAATTGTTCCGCAAGAGATGTAGTCATCTTAAAATTATAAATAATACTTTTTTATCACAAATATGTAGAAAATGTAATATGAAATATAAATTTGTAAAATATGCACATAACCCTGTATAACATATAATTTTACCTTGTTTTGATGTGTTGTAAATATGAAAAAATAAAACTTTATTAAATACAATATTAATAATTTGAAATTATAAATATTAAAATATTTCTAGTAATTTGGAATATATTAAATTATTCAATAAAATAAAAATATACATGTGCCACTTTATTATGTATTACGGAACAACACTGTAAGCAGCCATAATAGCGCATGTGCAAACTTCGATAATAGTTTCGACAAAACGTGATCGTTATAAGTTTATGGTGTAATAATCGTTTTATGTATTCATATTTTTTATATTTTATTAACAATAGTATTCAAAACAAAAAGCAATACGATATTAGATTTTATTTGATTATTAAAGTCTCTTCACTCCTGTGATGCATTATTGTTTTAAAAGGAAAAAACTATTAATTTTAGGTTAATTTCATTATCTCAATGTAAAAATTAATACTGAACAAGAAAATAATTTAATTTAATGATGTTTATATAAAAATATGTAAATCTAATATTTTTAATGGACAAAATGGGTGATAAATTGGAAAATATTAATCCCAAATTGTATAAAAAAATAGATGAAAGACAAATTACGGCAGAAGATGAAAATGAAGATATTGTAGATGAATTTGATGCGCGAGAAATTTTTGGTATGTATAATTAATATAATAATATATCTAATTTTCCGATAAATTTTTTATTTACAGATATGATTAGAAACATTAATGATCCTGAACATCCTTTAACTTTGGAAGAATTGAATGTGGTAGAACAAAGTCTTATTGAGGTAATATTATTAAATTAATGAAAAAAATCACTATAAAAATAATTTTATTTGATTTTAGATTGATAATAAAGCAAACATAGTTCATGTAAAATTTACACCAACAATACCACATTGTAGTATGGCAACATTAATTGGCTTATCAATTAGAGTACAATTATTGCGAGTTTTACCCTCAAGATTTAAAGTTAGTGTTGAAATTACTCCGGGTACTCATATATCAGAGACAGCAGTAAATAAACAATTGGCTGATAAAGAAAGAGTAGCAGCTGCTCTTGAAAACAATCATCTACTTGAAGTAATTAATCAATGTGTTGATATAAAATTTTAATATTAAAAGAATATATAAATACTAATATCTGTAGATAAAAAGTATTATATAATTCATTATTTTCTTATTTATTGAATTAAATTTTGAATTATTACAAGAGATTTATTACAATTAAATCTACAATTAATTAAATAAAGAAATGTTATATATAAGATTTCGTACATAAAATATTATTTTTTCACTGCTGACATTGATGCTGATGTTTGTTTTGATAAATTTACCACTGGATTATATTTAAACGTCTTCTTCAAAGGACCTTTAGCTTCCTCATTAAATTGTATCTTATCAGCATGTTTTAGAGATGATAATCTATTAGATATTTTCATGTTAATATAAGCTGAAAAAAATTGTTTGTATAAAATATTTGAAATTATATTTTAAATATTGTTGAATATTATAAAAGTACCATCATTAAATGTTTCTATAAATCCTTTTTTTTGACCTTCTCTTACATCGTGTTTGTGTTTTATAAGAGATGGAATATTATAATACGTTCTTATTTTTTGTGTGTTTAATAATTGATTTTCTATCAAAGTTATAAGATTTGAAATAGTCCAGTGACATAAAATGGCCTAGAACAAATTACTTATTTAATATGCATATTATATTCAATATAAAAAAAATTCTAATAATGATGTATCTTACTCCTGGAAATCTCATTGCAAATAAAAATGAAACAACTGGTATTGCTTTGAACATATGTCGCATTACTGGAGATATATTTCCACTATTATTCAATGCACGTGTAGAAATAACATACATTGTTACAGTAGTACATAATGGTAGCAAATAATATTGATCAGGAATAGTTAAATCTGTAAACCACAAGAGTCCACCTTCTTTTAAACTTTCTACAGGTTTATTAGTCATTCCTCTTAAAGCAACAAATACTGGTATATGAGCACCAATCTATTAAATAGATTATAGAAACAAATTATAACATTTTAATTATTGTAGATATACTAAAATATACTTTTTATATTACATAATACATACTTTTATAAAATTGGTTATTGGAAATATCTTGATTTTATTTTTTAAAAACAGTGTTTGTAATTCAGAAGCATATTGAGCAGCTAGAAAAAAAATGTAACATATATATTTAAGTTAATGTTATATTATTTAATATATACCTTCCATTGAATTTCCACACTTTCTTGCATCCGTCATATTTTCTTGTATTTTTACCATTTGTGGTAAAACATTATTTAATTTAGCATTATTTTTTTGTATAGCTATTGAACAGGGAAATGTTAAGAGTTTGATAACTGTGGAAGTTAATATAATTGTTGCCCACCATGGTAAGTCACAACTAATATGAAGCCATTCATAAAAAGATTGAAGAAGTCCAAAAGGACCATATCCACCTAATCCTAAGCTTTCAAAAGTAGCTTCACCATTTGCATGTAAATTAATAGTTTTTGTTATTTCTTCAACTATTGGTACAGGTATATCTTTAAAAAATATAAATATTATGTTTTTATTTATACCACTAAATGATGTAAAAATAAAAATATTAAACCTGATGTAAATATATTATATTACCTGGTATTTCATGTATAAGATCTTTTTCTATTACTGGACTATTTGTATCTGTTATGTTTGGTGTTACAGGTGAATCTAAAAGAAAAATTTTTTATTATTATATTTTGAAAATATATTTCAAATTAAACGCTTTACTAAAATACCTGATGTATTTGATACAATTTCTTTTGTTGTTATATGTGTTGTGCTTTCACATCGAATAAAATATATTTCATGAACTTTTAAACGTTTATGAACGTTGAGTACACAATCTTTTTTCGAAGGAATATTTGTTAAGTTATAAGCGAGTCCACTAAACTGACATTCTGTTGTTTTCTAAATATTTATTTTCAACATTATATATTTTCAATATATATTTTCAACATTAAAATAATTCGATTGTAACTACAGTAATATAACCTCAATGCAAAGGTTTTAACTTACTTGAAATTTTATAGATGTATTTAATAATTTTTGATTGACACGTACATACAATCGTGGTAACATATTATTTTATATATTATATATTAACAATATTATAATAAAATGAATAGAGTTGTAATTTAAAGATTTTTGTTTTACGTATACTTTACATCACAATACGTGTGTGAACATAATTTTTACCCTTTCTAAAAAAGATCATCGCATCGTAAGAAGTTGTCTAACTATATTCTAGATGGCATTTTAAGTACAATTTCAGGATTTTATTTATTTTTCAATTATTTAAACAATATTTAAACAATAATATTATTTATAGATGTCATTTGCAAAAATTATATATATATATATATATACATGTATTATGTATGTATATATATATATATACATAGTGTGAATATTTATAAACACATATTTTCAATTCATTCATGAAATATATCTTTTAAATATATCTTTCAATATTATGAATTATTATAGATATACGTTATTTTTTAATTTAAAAAAATGTGTAATAAGACATTTTTAAAAAAATTTTTTTTATTATATATATTTATAATTCTCTATAATATTGATTTTACAAAATAACTTTCTTTTAAATCAATAACAGGTATTTAGATTTAAAAGTTTAATATCTATGGTATTTCAATATTTTTTCGTTTTTGAATTGAGATGAATTTGAGATACAATACGAAACTATTGACACGACACTAGAATTATGTTGTCAGTACCGAATCACGTGATCGAATCTATTGCAATGACATTCAGTTTGCGTTCCAGAACGAGGGTTATTAAGACAGACCTGTTATTTAAGTTTTCTCTCGTGCCTTCTCTTCGATTTCATGCGATCTCTTCCTTTCTTTTCATCTGAGTTTAATATGTATAGTACCTTTAAAATATATCTTAATATGTAGTAGTTACTACTACTACTCGTTACAAAGTCGACTCTCTGTTGATTCAAGATGATAATGTATGACTGCGAGAGATTTCATATGAATAAAAACAAATTTAAAAAAGAAGAAAAAAAAAGAAAATCATGGAATAAAAGCAAAAGACGGCGCGCTTCTAATTACAGATTCACAACGTCAGCAAATGTCTGTAACTACTACTGTCTTAGCAGTGACTGACTGTTAATTTCTTCGAATATGAAATAATTCGGTAACTTGCTTTTTGGATGGTGCAATCATTATTTCGTTGTTATCTTTTCTTCCTTTTATGAATATGTACCGTAACATTCAATTAGACACGAATTAAAGCAATCAGTTTGAAATGATTCACAGAATTATTTTTGACATTGTCGTTAGAATATACGATTTGACTTGTATTGATTATTGAGCGTAACAATTTCATTTTTTTTTTTTTGTAAATTAATAATTAAAGATATTGTTAAATTGGATTAAATAAAGTTTGTATTTTTTATTGAATGAAATAAAAAATTTTATATATATTATATACAAAAAAGATAATGAAAGCAAAAGAAAGTAAGTTTCCGAATTTTTATTTCGTTTTCCGAGCTTTTAATCTGATATCTATCGAAGAATTTTTAAATTTATATAAAAAATAATTATTATGTAGCGTCATCCAATTGCGACGTAACAAAACAATGATCAACCATTGAAATTTTTTTTAAACTCTTTTACTAAACTCTTTAACTTTTTCAGAAACATGACGTTGCATAAAAGATCGAAGACCGTTTCCTAGACAAGATTGCCCACTTTACACTTGGATAGCAGGTCAGTGAAAAATAATGGGATTGTTCTCTGAAAAGAAGATAATGAAACAGAAGAGACGACAACGGGTTCTCGTGTCAACGTCGTATCGCGATCTTTTGATCGCGACCGATAAAACTCGTTTTGAAAATTTCTAAATCGTTTTCGACCATAACCTGAATAAGACGATTTAAATAAAATCATCATAAGAAAATTATTTATATATATATTAACAGAAGATCGTAAAATACGAGATTTTTGATTAATAAAATTCGATATAAATCGATTATCGATCAATTGATATCTCTAACTTGAAATTTGTCCAATGAAGTTGTCTGCTTAAATGTACATATTTCTCGACAAGTTCTATCAAAGTTTTTTTAAACGATTACATGGTTTATACATTGTAACGAAGGTAAGATATATTTTTTTCGTATCTAAATTATTAAATTTATTGAAATACAGTAGAGAAATATAGCATTGACAAATTTTATTAAATTAAACAAGCCTAATGAATTTTCCTTACAGTGTTAACTCTGCACAAATATGTTTCCTGGACTAGTCTATAAGAAATAATGATATCATGTAACTTATGTTACGGTTGTATGGATTAACCGTAAATTGGAAGATCGAAATCGTTGATAATTAGATCATAAATGTGATGGTTGATTTTGTGACGGCATACGAAAACGATCAATCGATCTCAAGAAGATGCTTGTCTATGACAAATTGCGTTCCAGACGACTCATCAAGACCTGATTGATTCATTCATCGCGATTTCATCAGTGATATTAGCAGCATGTGAGCAACATGTTTACCAATTATCGTGAAATTTGCACACTGAGAATCTTTTCTTTTTTTATGTACGCGCGCGATGAGAGTTGTTAATAATGATATGAATCAATGATAGCGTTGTAAATCAATTTTTAATTGCGATTCCGACTCAATCTGTTCTATCATTGTGACAGTGTTGCTAATATCGCGAATGAAATTCGACAGATAATACATTGTTTGTTTGATTTTAATAATTATCTGTCAAATTGTACATGATAAAAAAAGAAGTCTACGACTGGTTTGAAATCATAGTGAGTCAGTTTATATATTTCATAAAATATTATGTACATATATAAGGTTATTTCAAAAAATTTTTTCGTTATTTATGATTTTGATGGTCATTGAAAAATACATAGATTTTCATTTTTAATTGATATTAAAACAATCAGTTTTTCTTTAGATTTTCTGTTGTAAATTTTGGACTCTTTTATTCTTTTAAAATTTATTAATTATAATGTTATAAAATTAATAAATTACAACCTGATTAAGTTGACTTAATAATTTAAATAATGTAAGTAAAATAATAGATAAATATTCTAATAATCTTAATTATTATTTTGAAAAAATGAAATCATGGAAAAAAAAAATAAAAAAAAAAACGAAAAGAATTTTTGGGATCATTTAATACTTTGTTTTAACTGTAATGAAAAAAAAAAAATTATTATGGTTATATTATTTCAGGTAATAATCATATATGCATATCGTAATTCAAAAAAATCATTATATATATAATCAAACAAATTTCAATAAACATCATTGTGTTTTCGCTTTTTGAATGTTGATGTCGAAGAATCAATGTGTTGATGATAAAGAAAACGTTTCGTGTCTCTCTCTCTCGAGCCATTTTAAACGTCTTTATGAGTTTAGGCTGTTAACACGATCATGGAAACAGGTACGAGTTTTTTTTTCCTTGATGCCTTACTCTTCTATTATCTACGGGATCTCAGGTGGCTAGCGCCTGGCACGCATTCGTCAGGGACAAATGAAGTCGTGATTGGACAGGAAGTACGGCCAAAGAGCCGGCCACCGTGTTTCTCTTTCTCCTTTTCTCGATTATACCGAGACTGGTTCTTGGCTGGAATAGCTCGATAAAGGTCGAATTTACTGGTTTACCTGTCGAAAGTTGGAATATATTGTTGATTTCCTGTGACACCTATCGAATGAAAATTATAAAGAATATATATATTTTTTCGTATACTTTTTAATTTCTAAAAGATAACAAATTAAGAGTTGTTTTCATCTCTCGAATATATATATATTTCGAAGAAATTTTACTATATCATTACCATATCATCTAAAATCTTTTAAATTTTAATGAGTTCCAAATTTCTCTTTGTTAATCCAATGATAGTAATCCATCGTACATTTATAATGGAATACAATTCAAGTAGATCTCGCTATTTCGGTATTTCGATATTTCGAACACACGTATCCCAAGTTCCATATGATCTAAGTGGATAGCCTAACCGGAAACGAAGTTAACGAGTCGCTATTCGGCCGCAGATGCATCTAACGACTTCCTCGAAAGTCATCAAAATTGTTTGAATTAAAGATCGAGCGATTAAAGTTACAAAAGGGGAACAATGGTCCACCTTAATCAAATCGCATTAAAAAATCAAGAATAATAAGAAAATAAAGGGAGAATATCATTCTGTAATGGATGCAATCTGTTTGTTTCGTACTCGTATATCGGTCTCAGCCGCAATTTTTCCTGATCGTTGGCGACCAGGCTCTATTCCCCCTATGTATCCTTTCATGCTCATATAGCTCGCGTGTCGAGGTAATGGTATGTACAGAAGGATAATCTAACAGATACGCCGTCGTAGGTGCATCGTTGTGTGGGATCATAATGTGCAAAAGGAAATCGCCTCGCTTTAAGGTAAATGGTCGGGGAGTGCAGTGCGTGCCCGGCCGCGTGTGAACCACCACCGGTTTCCTTTCATTCACTAAAGTTTCTTCATCGCGAATGTCGCACGATTGCTACGCCCGATTATCGTTGTGCGAGCATCATCTCCGTGGTAAAAAGAAATTCTTTCGCGGAACCGATCCGTTAGCGATTAACGGGACCGTGTCTGCAAATTTTTATTTGAAAAAAAATTTGATAATGTAATTTTCATTTTTCTCACTTTAATTATCGTTATTAATATATAATGACAATTGATGTTAAATTGACGTGACGATAGTTTAAAGGTAGAAATTTTGAAATATTATTTTTTGTATATTTTGCGATACCATTTTCTATCGATATAATTAAAATTATATATCATTGAATATCATTGAATTAAAACGATATAATGAACGAATAAATAAATTAAGAGAATTAATATAATATTTTTTATATCGAATGAAATTATTCAGAGGTCATACATCGAGTTTTTCATCCGTGACGAAATCGGGAACATGCGAAAAAATAATACGAAACAGATTCCTCGATTAATCATGGAATCGGCATTGTCGGTACGGGAGAAATTATTTTCGATTAGAATTTTATGAGCTACGACCCCGTTGTTATGTATTATTGTTTGCAAAGCGCGAAATATAGTTCAGGAGATCGACCGTGTGCCCGATTGAAATATAAACAATTACGCGCTTCGTTTACATTCACCGTGTCTTTCACTCATTCAACGAGTGGATTTCGTTGTGGAACGATGTGTCGCGTTTATTCTACAATATATTATACAGAAATCGAGTAAGAAAGAAGGGGATTTTAAAGAACGAAGAAAAAAACGATGAAATACGTAATTGAATGGAAGATGACGGCCTCCATCGAAAAGATCGTCAAATCAGTCATGTTTGTCTTGGATTTAAAACACCATGTATCGGAAATCACACGTAACGAGGTGTATTAAAATTGTACCATCCAGCTCGATGAACGAAATTCGATAAAACACGGACCAATGGGCTTTTAGTCCAAATTTAAATACCGAACGAATGGTTATTTTAATCTCGAAATTATTCCACCGTTCCATTCAATCGTCAACATTTCGATTCGATAACCATGATGGTTTCGAATAACTCGAAGCATCAGATTTATCGTCGATTCGATCACAATAATTCCGTGGAATATTCACCAAAAATTTTCAAACGCTACAAACTTCACTGTAAAACGAAAACTCTTCGATAATTCGACGCAAGAAAAGGATTTTCCCGTAGAAAATTCTCTAGAACCTTTAATAAAATAAAAATGAAACTAGTTCGACCAAATCGTTACACGCTTCCTGTGCATCGTAGAACAAGAACGATTTTCGATAATTCGAGAAAAGGATTCCCTCCTAGGAAATTTTCTAGGATCATCACGTGACGGAGGACGTAACTAGGGATTCGCGTGACACATTAGTCTAAAATTCGCGCGTGAGACAACGAAGGCCCCGAATCGGTTCGCCATTTATCATAATGCTTGCTTAATGCTCGTTGCTGGAACGTGGTGTCTCGCGTGTAACCACCTTGTAGAGGAACGCCCGTGGGACCAACGAGACTTCCCTCTCGTGATATGTTGACAAGGATATGTGTGCGAGTGCATCGAGAACATTCCCACAAATTGGCAGCGGCCTGTTCGAATCGGGAGGGGACAAAATGGAGAGAGGAAAAGAGACGAAAAAAAAAAAGGAAAGAGAGAAAATATAGAAAATAACGACGATAATACGAGGAGAGGCAGGATACGTTTGTTAGCTTTGCTGTTCGTCCGGAAAACGCTGTAGGATTCCGGGGTTCGGCCAAGGGGGTGACAGAGCGGCCATTGTTATTTCCGCTTACGCGATGCTCTTTGATCAGGTTCGTTGATGCTTTTTTTTTTCTTTTTTCTTTTTTTTACTTTTTTCTCTTATTTAGTTGTTCCTTTTTATTGCGACTTGTTTGTAGCTTGTTAAGAACGATACGACTCGAAGCTTTTCGATTCGTTGTTTTTGAGTGATAATTTGATGATGTATTTTTTTGATGGTGAATGGTTGATCTGGGAGTAGGTTTTTTTTTTTTGAAAAAAGGAACGTGAATTATTAATCCATTAACTTTCAGGCAATTGACTGTTTGTTGAATCAATAAAGAATAATTAATTTATATATTATACTTTATATATATTTTTTTTTAAATATTCTGTTTTAATTTCAATTTTATTATAACAATTCATCCACTCCATAATAATATATAATTCTGATAGAGATATTATTTCTATATAGAAAATAATAGTAACTCATTTACGTATCATAATGGATAAATAAGAAATTTAAATATTTAAATTTCTTTTTATGATCCGCAAATCGAAATCAAGTCATCTAATTAGCACGATTCACATCATATAATTTATCGATATTCATTGGAATTTTGATTTAATTCTTGTTCCAAGATATGGATTTCGATTGTTAAGGGAATCGGCTACCGGGTTTCATTGGCGAACTCCGCATTTTACGAGGTTATTAAGTTTTCGAGAATACCTAAGCTAGTTTCTTTGGTCTCGGCTAATTAGTTTATTAGTGGCCAATAAATCGGATCGAGTTATTAATTAGCGATCTGACATTGAGATTGCCTCGTCGAAATAAAGTAATCTCGTTTAAGAGGCAATTATCATTTAGAATAAAGAAAAAGAGGGGGGAAAGATTGATCTTTAGATCTTCGAAAATGGCTTTTATTTAACGATTTCGACGATTTTAATGGATTTCGGATTCCAATTTTGAAATATAATGTTAAATATTACGTGGATATAGTATCTTAAATATTTTCGAATTAATTTGTAAGCGTTCCTCTTCCAATTTGATGTATGCGATTAAATGACGGGTTACGAAGGAAATCGTGTATGACGATTGCGAGTAGGAAAATTGATATTTTGCCAGTGTGATTAAACGTTGTCTATAAATAGAATCGTATTTCCGTGTGCGCTGTCATTTGTACGCTGTGTGATCCACATGTTGGGAAATACGTGGAAATTAAAGTGATTTAATATAAGCAACATTTTATTTTAAATTACTCTTTAGTTTGATACACAATATCTTAATTTAAAAAAAAAAAAAGAAAAAACGTCGAGTCAAAAGACAAGTTGTGACGACTTTCTCTTCGCAACAATTTTACAAGATTATTAAAAAATCATTATAATCCGATTGCCGCAACCGGAACTTCGAAGATTTTCGGTCTCGGTTTGAAAATTCTCACGATACTGGGAAGAGAAGGAGGGATAGAATGAGATGAGAATAACAGAATAAAAAGAAAAAAAAAAAAATCTCGTTCCCAAGAGTGAGTGCAGCAAATTTTGCATAAAAAGGAAGAGAAGAGAATTCCCGAAGTGAATCGTTCAAGGAACGTTGATCCACGCTCTAAAATAAGTAGAAGGTGTTGTGCTATCGCGTTGCTTTCGGCTCCGTGCTGGCTCCATGTGCACTCGTTACACGTATGTGCAACGTTATACCGTGTAACTATGCACAAGAAGCGAGCGCACGTTATCGCTCACGTGCCCCGAGAGATGTCTGTTATGAATGCTCGTCCGCGACGATGCGGATGAGCATTATTATTATTATCATCATCGCGTAAGGCATCATGCAGCAGGTGAGGCGAGGAGGCGTGGCGCCGGATGTGTATATATCATAGAAACGTATGCATTTCCGGTGGACAGATCTAGATCGATCGGCCGCTCGGTTTTTCGGTTTCCTTTCTCTCTCTTTCTCTCGCCCGGCCGAAATTATGACCACGCGATTTTTTCTTTCTTTTTTTTTTTTTTTTTTTTTTT